AGAGCTCAGGCTCACAGACCAGCAGCGAGGCAGCCGGGCAGGAGCCACTGGGGCCCTGGACACACATCCACGGGCTGCGGGGCTGCAGGGCTCTACCCTCCCGACTCGTCCCCCCAGGGATGGGCCACCCCTGACCATGCTCCCTTCCCCTCTGGGGCGCTGGGCCAAGCACCCTTCCCAGACCCGGTGCCGTGTCCGCCTCCTGCGCCAGCTCCATGGCCTGGCTCTGCCTGGCGTCTCCTACACACCCAGGCCCCTTGCAGCCCCTGCCCACTGGAACCCACCCACCCTGTGGAACTGGAGCCCCTGCCCCTGCCGCAGGAAACCCCTCCGCACACCCGCCAGACGCCAGCTCCTCAGTGTGGACGCTCAGAGTTAGTTTCTGGGTGCTCTTCCCACACTGCATGGGGGTCCGGGCCTCGCCCCTGTGCCGTGGGGCCAACTAGCCGTGTGACTGTGGGCTGCTGTGCGCAAGGGCCGGGAGTGGGGTGCCCGGGACCAGCGGGAGGCCCTGTGGAACAGAGGGACCAGCCAGGGTGCTTGGTGCACAGGCGCTTTTATTTACTTAGGCGGCAGGCCCTGCGCCCTGCGGCCGTCACAGGCCGAACCACTGGGGGACGCCGCCCCGCCGGGGGTCCTGGCGCTGCCTCTGCCGCTGCTCCTCCATCACCGCCTGGAGGTCGTCCTCCGTGGAGCCGTCTTTGGGGCTCGGCTTCTCAGGGAAGAGATCTGGGAACGTGAAGGTCTGTCCGTGTGCCTACGGAGGGGGAAAGAGGCTGCAGCCGGCCGGCGCCTGTGCGGCGGGGGGCCCCCCCGGCTACGTGGACAGGACCTTCCCACCTCCCCACCCATCTGCCCACCCGGGTCGGCAGGGCTCCCGCTTCTGTCTGACCCACAGTGAGGCTCTGTGACTCTCCCCACTGCAGTCTCTTTAGGTGTCTGCGGGCCGCCTGGGGGTGCGGGGCTGGAGGGAGGCTCAGGCGAACACGGCTCCACCGTGTGCGGTGTTGCCTGAAACCTTTTCCATCCAAAATCCCTGACGGCCTTCACCCCACTGAGGACACCCCTCCCGGCAGGGCCCTGCGACCCAACGCAAGCCACACACGAAGGGAAGCACAGGGCAGCAGCCTGCATGGCCTCGGCCCAGCTCTCCCACCTCACGCACGGCCCCCAAGTCCACCCGGACCCCCAGGCCTGTGAGCCAGCCCCCAAGTCCCTAGTCAAGGGCAGGAGAAGAAGGCACCCCAGACAGGTAGGGAGTGGGGGGCGGGGGGGGGCACTGTATCTGGGAAATTCTAGTCGTGAAATCAGCAAAGTGTGCTTGGTTCTTGCAGACCCTTGTTTTTCAAAGAAATCTGGATTGTGGGCGGCAGCCAAGGACAGGCTGACCCGGCCCCTGTGCCCCCCGAGAACGTGAGGTTCATGCCTTCGGGTCACGTGGCGCGGGGCGTGGTGGTAGCCAGTCCGTGGGAGGATTATCTTACACGTTTCAAAACCTTTTTTTTTCCTTTTATAAAATACCAAAGGGCAATAGTTTACATGCAAGGCTGACGGCTCAGAGCGGGGAGGGGGGTATGTTTAATATATCGAGGTGATTCTGCAGGTTTTCTGAGGTGGGGAAACCCAAAATGACATTTTAAATATAAATACAAAGATGGCAGTTTGCAACAGCTTGGGAGAGGACAGGGGCTCGGTGAAAGGAATCCTGTTTCTCACCAGCGACGGCGTGTGGGTGCCGACAGCGGCCCCCTTTCCAGAGAATTCCCTGGCCCTTTCACAAGCCCCCCAGCCCGCAGAGAGGAGAGGGCGGCCGGACTGCGGAAAGTACAGGAGAGCAGGGGGAGGCCATGGAGCGAGGGGGCCAGCCCAGGCGGCACACTGTCTGCAAACCAGTG